CCCCAAAACCCCAAAACCCCAAAACCCCATTGGAATAAAAAGTCATTATTCATAAGAAATTAAAATTTTAAGCTAATCAACCTATTGGGCAATTTTAATATAAATTAGGCTTACTTACAGTTGATAATATTAAAAGTAAAATAAATCAGATGTTAGGAGGCATTTACTAACCAGAATTCAAAGATATGGAAATTGATAATATACACTTAGAGATAGAACCTAAATTAGTGAAAACCTGTTCTTAAAATCCTGAAGAAGAACTAGATACAATAATGATTGACACTACCACAAAATTCGATGAGATTTGTTTGTTATGTTCTGAAAAATTAAGCAATGAAATGCTTAGCTTCGATCTAGTCCTTTTGGAGTACGGTTGCAATCATAGATTTCATTAGATATGCGTTAAGCAATTTGTTTGCGAGTAGGAGAATGAAATGACTCAGCCAATAGCGTTCAAATGTCATTAATGCGAGTTTAAGATTCCTTATGAATAGTTAATTGAATTGAAGAGAGTTTTTGGTCAGTCAGAAGCCACAGCTCAGAATTTAGTTATGATAGACGAGCAATCAGAAAATATCAACTTATAAAAAGAGGAATAAGTTTAAGAGTAAGTTGTTGCTGAAGTTAAAATGGACGAGATGGATATAGAAGTCTAGATGTCTGAACCTGAAATTAAAGTTAATCTTGAGATTTAAGAAGAACCAAAATGCTTATGCTAAGATATAATGGTCGGAGAAGATAGAGAAGATTTTGATTTTAAAGATAGACTTGGTAACAAGTTTTTATCAGAAGAGGCTGTCCAACACTTAAGAAAATTCATTGTAAGATGTAATCTCTGTGCTGATACCCATTGCTCAGAGTGTTAAGAGAAGCCTTATCACTTGGGGTATACTTGTGAGACTTATAAAAAGCACATTGAGGAGAGAGTTTGCAGATTTTGCTAAGAAAAGTATCAATAAAATGCACTTATCAGTGAGCATCCTGTGTTTGATGATGTTTGTAAAAACTGTGAAGATCTTACTAATTAGTGCTGTATTAAACAACATCCTAATTGCAATCATAAGTGTTATGGTTCAAGAAATGAAATAGTTTGTTTACCTTGCCTTCATCCAGAATGTGTTAAAGCAGATGAGACTAAAACTCTCGGAATCGATGGAAACAGCACTTGTCCAGTCTGCTACACAGAGACATTGAGTCAGGGAGATTCAGTTTAGCTCAACTGCAAACATTTATTTCATAGGAAATGCATAGAAACAATTTTGACTAACAAACAAACTGACCCTAGGATTTCATTTGGATATTTAGACTGTCCATGCTGTGGAATTTAAATGGAAGGTGCAAACTCGCCTGCAATAATCGCACTTTTAGATGAGGGTAAAAATCTCATAAAGACAATTATTGATATGTCTTTACAAAGAGCAGTCATTGAAGGTATCGACAAAGATGAAAGATTAACCAACCCAGAAGATAGATTCTACAATGACCTTCAGGAATATGCCCTCTATAAGTTAGCTTTCTATGAATGCTTCAAATGTAAGTTACCATACTTTGGTGGCATGAGAGACTGTATATAAGAAGCTCAACAAGATACTCAGCATAATAAAGAAGACTATATGTGCGGAAAATGCAAAGCTTTAACTCATTAATACGGACTTACAAATTGTGATACTCACGGAGAGGATTACATAGAGTATAAATGCTAGTACTGTTGTGAATTAGCTACATGGTATTGCGAAGGGTTAGCCAGATTTTGTAATCCATGCCATGACCATGCTTGTGATAACGAGATTTTTCCTTGTAAAGGACCAAAGGAGTGCCCACTTAATGGAAATCATGAGCCAAATGGTAATGAATATGCTATTGGCTGCAGATTATGTAGAATTGAGTATATTAAGAAAGAGAATATAGATGAATTTTGAGGCATAAACTCAAGTATTAAGTTATGAAAATGATATATATACATATATTAGGAGTGTTTATAGAATTAATCAGTCATATTTGACAACTTTATTTAATAACAGTTTATTTCAAATTTTCTCAATTTCTTAATAATCTATCATTATGGGGTTTTGGGGTTTTGGGGTTTTGGGG